ATTGACTTTCAGCTCCAAAACGGCTTTTGTGCCAAGTGCGCATGTGCTGTTTGGCGAACGTGACCTAAACACCGCTGCCATTTGCAGGGGCATTGCCGCATGTTTCGGAACAAGGCTTGGGCTTTGGGCTTGTTGGAAGCTGCATCCTTTTGGGTCAAGAAGCCCTTGTGAACCACCACCGCGTTTCAGCCGCTGGTTTCTGTGTGGGAGCTTTGGAGCGTTGACCGCGACGCTGATTAGGTCATATGGGTCATGCAGACTCCCAGATTCACGGGTCGAGCGTTTTGAACTTGGGCTCAAGTAGTTTGAACATGCCTTACTGCTGTTGCCATCCCAGGTACTGTGGCGCGAGAACAGCAGATTCACGTGGCTGAAGGAGGAGTGCAAGTCTCCTTAGCATCAGCATCCACCAGAGAGAGGCTGCTGATGTACATGCCATGCCATGGCCGACATGAGAACTTTCAGTTGTGGCGCTATGAGAACAAAGTCGCCTCGACCTGAGGCCGGGGGCCTATGGAACCAATAGACCAGGATCTGGTCTGCTTCGGCTAAGGCGCCTAGGAATGTTGCCCTTTGAGACCCATGCGGGACCCAACCTGGAACCCCCCCCCGTCTTCAGACTCCGACTCCCCCCCTTAAATCCCCTGTGGGCACGCTGCGCCGCTATGCGTTGGGCCGGCCCGCTGCCGAGGCGGCGCGGGCAAGCAACTACATGCATCTACAATTCGCCTCGCTTGCAGCGAGAGGCATCAGGAACAAGCAAACCAGGATCTCTTCTCCTTCACCCCCCTGGACCCCTGGGACCCCGCCCTGGACCCTCTCCCTCCTGGGACCGTTGCACATGAGTAGTCTAAGCCTGCTACAAGAACCGAGGGAGCAAGTGCAAGTGTGAGAGGGCGAGGATGGGAGAGATTGTGAAACGTTTGCTTGAGTGTACTGGACGACCAAACAAGCACAGGTGTAACGGCAAAACAAGTGGCGAAGAGCTAGCTGCTGGCAACAATAACAAACGACAAGCATCTTGCAGCAGGGAGCAGCAGCGTGGTGCCGGGAGCCCTCACGACAGACTTGCTTCATCTTGCTTCATCATGTTTCAATGTACTCCTGACCCTGAGATTGCCAACAAGCGTTTGAGCTCCGACTGCTGCAAAACCTTTGAGGATGCGCCAAGTACGGAAGACAAGCCTCCAACCAGCCGCCCCGAAACATCCTCGAGCCCACAACCTGAGTCTCGTCAGACCTGTCGGCTTGCCTCTGAGGCAGAATGGTGGCAGTCATCGGCACAAGTGCGTCGGTAGCACCGCCTCCCGCGCATCCATCGTCACAATCTGCCGCTTGCAACATCTTGCAACCCGCTGCATGCTGAAGCAGCGCCTGAGACCGACACCATCGGAGGCGCTTCGGATGCCCAGGCCTCCGAGACAGAATTTTCTTGGGGGCTTGGGGGACTTTAGAGCCTTTGGGAAATTTTGGGAGCGCAGGCTCCTCCTCACGCGCGGCAGCAGCACGATGTGCAAAGCGTGCCTCGAGCTGACTTGAAGACTTCAGGAATCAGATGAGCCATCTGCTCCGTCCCTGAAGTCCCAAATGATATGGGCCATATGAATTTATGCAACCCAAAGTTCCGCAACAAGAACGCCGGCCGAAGGCCTCGAGGAGCAGAGGGTGTTCTGCAACAGGAGAGGACACCAGAATGAGGCCGTGCACAAGGCTCCTGCGAAGCGCCCGAGCCACCAAGAAAAAAACCCGAAATTGCCCATTCTTGCAACGAACGTCTCTCAGCACTTCTCGAAATTTCTCGAACTCCTCGACTAGTCTGCCTTTTGAGTCCATAAAGTCAATAAAGCCACTGTGGGCTGCCTCCGGCTTCCCAGCATGCGGAGGGCTTCCAGCGCGACAAGGCCGCCCATGGAGTGGCCCAGCACTACCAGTGCACCTGTATCCAAGAAAGCCAGAGGGTTTACAGGGTTTACCCACGTTCTGCACGCTGCCCAGGCCCCGGGCCTCTCTTTGGCCGTGAGAGCTCTGCGATTGCCTCATTGCAGCCTATGAGGTCCGTTCCCATTGACATCACTTGGATGCTGAGCCGGTGGCTGCTGCCGTGAAGTCTGCCTGCGCCTCGACCACCGACCAGTGCAGGGCAGAGGCGGACCTCGGCATTTATACTGCATCATGTTATCTTGCTTGTGGTATCACCCAATATTGAGTTGTGCTGTATCATACTCTTATGTTTTTATACATTCTCAGTTTTGCACATCCTCTTTCAAACCGTTTCCAACAGCCTCGACACGGAGCAAAAGCAACAGTGTCGATCATTGCGGCGCGAGTGGCGCATGGAAGTCTACCGCGAAGAAATCGATGGCAGACCTGAAGTTCAGAAGCTCGGCATAGCTCGGCACAATGCCGGGAATTGAAGGCGACAGTCACCGCAAGACACACCCAGACGCACGCACACGCGCACACGCGCACACGCGCACACGCGCACGCGTGCGAGCACGCGCACCTGCACCTGCACCTGCACCTGCACCCGCACCCGCACCCGCACCCGCACCCGCACCCGCACCCGCACCCGCACCAGCACCCGCACCAGCACCCGCACCAGCACACGCACCAGCACACACACAGACACACACACACACACACACACACACACACACACACACACACACACACACACACACACACACACACACACACACACACACACACACACACACACACACACACACACACACACACACCAACACACACACACACACACACACCCATGCATGCATGCATGCATGCATGCATGCATGCATGCATATATAATATATATATATATATATATAATATATATATATATGTATATATATATATATATACATATATATATATACACATAATACATATATATATATATACATATATATATATATACATGCATACATGCATACATGCATACATGCATGCATGCATACATGCATACATGCATGCATCCATGCATACCTACCTACATACCTGCATACATCTATGCACACAGGGTGGTGAGAGGAAAAAAAAAGGCCTGGACATGTAGGCGGCGATGTTGATGCCCTGCGTCCAGGCCCTTGGAGCTTTGTGCGGCTCAGCTGCTTTGCTGTTGCTCGGAAGTTGCTCATGTGGTCCAAGCAAAAACGTCTTACATCCCCCCAACCTTCCCTAGAGTGGTCAATGTGGTAATCACACTTCAACTCCACGACTAAGAAGAAATGTCTCGCCCTCCTTTGGGGCCACATCGGTGTGAATCGCTGCATGAGCTTTTTGTGAGGTATACTGGTATTCATATTATGGACTTACAAAGCCTTAGCTGCTTTCATTAAGCTTGTGCTCAGGGTGCCCCAAAGCCATCGGACTTGACCCGTGATGTGAGAAGGTTTCCGTAAGAGTGTTTCCGAGCTCTCGTACCCGCCATGGCCCGGCAGGAAGAGAACCAACCCGTCCGAAACTGCCTTTCAGCTCTCTCAATTTCGAAACTCTGTTGCAGACCATGAGCATCTGAGGACAAAGAGGTTCTTCCAGGCCTGGCTTCGCTTCCCATTGTCGGTCCCGAGTTTGTACAGGCCGAAGTGGCTGTGCTCCTGACGACTGTGGAGATCTGTGGAGCCCTTGTGATGTGTTTCTCCTTCCTGGTCCTAGACAACTACGAGCCAACAGGCAAGATTTCAAAAAAAACACACCTGTGCTAATATCCCTCCCTCCTAAGCTCCTAATAGTCCTAATGTTCCTATGATTCCGTGATTAGAAATTCTGAGTTTCCCATGGTGGCCAGTACTGAGCAGTCCGAAAGCTACGCGTTCCTCCGTGGAGGCTTAATGTCGGTGCCACCAAAAGTGGAAGGGGGCGGAAGGGGGGGCTGTCGACGAAACTCCTGTTGTGAAGATTTCCTTCTGCTCTAATGACTAATGAAACCCACAAAGCGCTCGCAGCGACGATGAGAAACAATGAAGACCTGCAAGTGCCATGTGTCCGCTATTGTCCGCTCATGTCTCTACAACAGCAACTGTAAGCATGGTGCTCCTTCTCAGGTACGTCTTTACGCAGGAGCGTGGCGCTGTTGCGCATGAGGTTCCATGTTCGGTCATCTTGGTAAGGTCCATAAGCCAGAAATGCACCTGCCAATCCACGTCTCTGGCGTTTGTAGCTCATGCGCTTGTCACATGAGTCACATGCACTCGACCGGCCTAACACAGACAGCAGAGCACTGGCAACTGCCGCCCACATGGCATCCGACTTGGCAGCTGTTGCTTTCGCACGTTTGTGCTTTGAACTCTTAAAGCTGACGATGCCGAAACGAGGTCTAAGAATTACAGTCAGTGTTGGTTGCGGAGGCGTGAGTGCGAAGGCATGGCACCAGTCTGCGTCATGTGTGGCAACCATTGGCAAACCTGCTTTGCTGCTTTACCCCGGACAACTGCCGGCCATCGGTCTTTTCTCCAGCAGCTCGGCCGGTCAGGTTTGCCATGTAACGGGCCTAAACCATTAAGCTGAACCACAAACCAGCCACAAACCAGCCCCGACCCGAATCGCAGAACCCGTTAAGCCTCAAAGCAAGATCAAGCAGAAGCAAAACATAAACAACGTAAACTAAGTAGATAAGCAAAGAAACAAACAAACCCTGTGCCTGCCGGGGAGGGCCCGCCTCCTGTAGCGTCGGGAGGCCTCAGGGATCCCGAGTTTTCACGTCCACTACGACGAGGGCTCCGCTTCAGCTTCTGACATGCTGCTACATATCTTACAGGGCTTTACATATACGTATATTATCTATATGTAGTACATACGTATACAGAAACATGCATAACGGCTTGGGTGTGATGGCATGACAGGCTTTCATCCCAGCGGCTCCATCGGGCTGGGACCTGCCGCGTCACAGCGAGAAGCTGCTTCTGTTGCATTCCGACACTCCACATCCCATCACCTCCCCCCTGGATTTCCCCTTCCAAGGACCAGCCATGCAGAGTCAAAGACCAAGCGGGTGCGGCCTCCGCTGGGATACCTTGGTCTCAAGTGGAAGCGAGTCAGTGAATCGTAGCTCCACTTGCTAGGCATGGATTCTCGTCCTTCCACGGAAGCAACGATGCGTGTCCGCCCTGAGAAGCCTGCCCATAGTCATAATTGGCTTGGCCGGTAGCCTGGACATCATAGCCGGCTCCACCAAAAGCGCCGCTCGTGTGATCGGTGTAGTCCTGGGCCAGCCAGCGTCTTAAACGGAAGCCCCGAGCATCCCTAAGCCAAAAGCGCTTTCTTGCCCTGGCCCTGTCAGCAGAGGCTCAGCATACGATGGGTGATACTCCGTGTGATACTCTGGTGACGTCTCTGGAGAGGGCGAGAATGGAGAACCTGAAGCGGATGCCAATGGTGCAACCGCAAGAACCATCGGCAAATGGCAGGCCTTCCCCGGTGTAGAATCCAACGTCCTGCGCAGCACTGAAGGAGCAGCAAGTGGTCACATGTGGCCATTTTGATACCTCATGCTAGCTCAGGCTTTGCAACGTTGCAGTAGCTCTGAGAGGTAAAACCTGGAAACCCAAGGCACCTCCGGCACTGAACTCTTTTGCTTCAGGACACTTCCTGCTGTAGCATTGACAATGTTTGGAAGGACGACCTGCGTTAGTGATTGATACGGGAGAATCTTCCTGGCGTCAGGCAGCCTGTTCAGCATTGACCAGGCTGGAGAACACAGAAAGGAAGGCGGAAGATGGTGGACGGTGGAAGGGTCGAAAAAGGTTTGGGGTGTGCAATCGGCGAAGCGCGCTTTTGGAGCCTAACTCCAAGCGCGCTCAGCAACGCAAGCGCAAAACCTTGAGATCGCTTAAAAATGTGCGCTTGGACGCTATCGCCCAAGAGAGTTCAGTCACCTGAAATTCCACCGCCTAAATCCTACATCGCGGGGCATTGAGGAGTTTGCTGGTTGCTCGATACTCGCGCTTGCCACCCGTTCCCAGTTCGAGTTTCGCAGTGCCGCAGAGCCACTCTTGCTTGCATATATATCGTTTAGGCGTTTTACGAGGTAACGACTCGGTAACGACTGATCTTGCCGACATCTCCAGCGCTCCTCGGCTGCGGAGGCTGCAGCCCGCTTCTTGCGACCTTTCCTCTCCTGAGTGGTTTTTCCCCATTCCTTTCCCCCCCCGAACCCACATCAAACAGCGTCAAACCATTCCCGAGCCCAAAGGTACAGAATGGTCATTCCCGACACCGACACCACAGAACTCGGATCATGAATGAACAGGAACGAATTCTGCACCCTCAGTCAATCCGAAACACCCAACTCACACAAACGAAAAAGAATTCGCAAACATCTGACTCTAGAATCTCTTGCTCCCCTCCCTCCCGCAGCCTTTCGCTCCGGCGAAGCACTGGCAGAGGCGTCCGCAGCCCAGCTGCCCAAGGCTGCAAAGGAGGCCTGGATTTTATGGAGGGGGCGAACTTCTCACAATTCCAAGTAGCGCGCCACCTCTGCTTCCATAAAGGCTTCGTGGCTCTTGCTTTTGCCTGCCGTTGTCAACCAATACAGAACCTGCACTGCCAAGCTACACCTGGGGTGGGAGGGTGTAGCACGGGATTCCCTCACCATCGCACCCACAGGAGGGAAGTTCAATTACAGTCACTGCCCCACCGAGTGACAGCATTTGCACAACAGCCTCGACCGTCGGAGCGCTTTCCTGCACTCATAGTTGAAGGTGCTGGCACGCCAGTTGCAGCCAAAGAAGCCATCCACAATGTCCACCCCAAAAATTGCACACAAGCTGCCCATATCCCGTTTGCACCTGAAGCTCTCTCCTTCCTCGAGGAGCTTTTCGATGGCGAGTCCTCCACCTCGTGATGGGGGGCGAAGGGGCGAGAGTCGGTGAAGTGTTCTGGCATCGCATACTTAGTCATGCTTCCTGCATCTTCCTGCTTCAAGGCATGGGCGCAAGCATGCTTGCTGCAGGGAAACCCAGTGAAAAATCTTGTTCATGGTCACCAACTTAAAGCGACCCCACATGTAGCGCATGGAAACTTCTCACCAGACACTGCGCACACGCCTCCAAAGTCTCCTTCTTGTCCTTCTTGTCCTTCTTTGCTTCTTTGACCTCCTTCCTGCTGTCCTTTTTCTCCTTCTTCTCTTTCTTCTCCTTCTTCTCCTTCTTCTCCTTTTCACTTTTCTCGCTCACGGGAGAAGCCTCAACATGATGTTCTTTGGGCGTTCAGGCATAGAGTGGCTGTGCCTGCGAGACCGAAATCAGACATGAGCAGAAAGGGCACGATGCACACGGCGGCAATGGAGGATGGGGATATCCTCTTAGAACATCCTAGAACCTCTGAAGCGTTGCGAGGTGACACGCGGCGTGCATATCCTTAAGAGCCATTGCGAGGTGACACGCGGCGTGCATATCCTAAACACCCTTAACAACTCAACTCAACGTGAAACCGAAATCTTCCACAGTGGGCGGTACGTCCACAATGTTCGAATCACGAAGAATACATCTCAAGGCGTGCAACAATGTGGAAACGCCTCCTGACACCGGAGTTTGCAACGATGTTTGGGGGGGGGGGGGGGGAACATCTTGGAAGTCCAGCGAAAGCGGCTGCACAGCAGAACGCAACTCTGGCAGCATCCCGGTAGCAAACCTCCGCTTTTGCTTCCTGATTCTTGGTCAGGGTACGAAGACTTGTGCATTCAGCAAAGGATCAAGTCATACACCCCTGACCTAAATTTTGACGAGGACGCATCTTCTGATTGGGGACGACCGGGGCTATGTGGCCATTACTCCTATGTACAATTCCTGCAGCAGTACTGGTCTGAGCCTCCTCTTGATGTTGGTCATCCTTCTGGCCACCTGTTAGAGACTCGCCTGTCAAGGAGCCATCGATTCAAGTGAACATAGAGCCTCACGTCCTGCTCCGTGCCAAACCCACTGTTTGAATGCACCCACATGCGCCTTTAGACTTACTCAACACTCGTGCATCTGCCGCCTGCACCGAGTTATCCCGACCCACCTCGGGCCAGGCGAACATGCGGCGGGTCGACACCCGGCTGGGCGTACTTCTTCGCCTCGTACTTCGCACCTGAGTCCAACAGCATCTGGAATTTTCTCCTTCCCAGTCCGTCCTCCATGCTGCTGAAGCATGCAAGAAGCACTGAGACGAAAAGGCTGGAACGGATCCAGCGCTCCATCTTCCTTGCCTCCACCGGGTCAATTTTGTCCCCTGGCGCACCATTTTGAAATCTCAAGTCCGTCCTAAATGAGGGGATTTTCATGGCTTCTCCTCTGCTACATCGATACAGACTACTGCGAGTCCTTACGAATTCTGTTGCAAGATGCCATGAGCCCGAACAAGCCTGCCGCAACCTGCGACTTGGAGACGTACTTGGCACCGGCAGGAACGTTGTACCTTGCGCCAATGTCAACCGAAGGGTAAACAACTGTTGTTTCGCGAAAGCTTATTCCAGAGAATGGTGCAGCAACGATCGGAGTTTTATGACTATTCAGGACTTCAGGGTGCTCTGAGAGTCAACACCGCGATCACCGCATTCCCTCATCTACGACTGTCGACACCATGCCCAACAAAGAATGCCAACAAAGAAAAAGATGTCTTGACCGCTGTGCTGACTCACAGCCTTTCAAGACAGCTTTAAGCGACGACGTAGCCTTGATTTATCTTAAAGACTGCCGCCTGTCCCCTTTGGGTTTTTGACTCCACATCCTGCGCCGAGGCACTCATAGTAAGCGTTGGAGCGTTCGTTGCCGATGGTAAGGCAAGGCACCGCCTTTTTTTCTGCAAATAGGCGCGAGGTATACTGAGGTGTAGTCAAGTTTCGAGGCTTTGAGGCTTTCAGGCTTTGAGGCTTTGAGGCTTTCGGGCTTTGAGGCTTTGAGGCTTTGAGGCTTTGGATAGGTGCGCTGTTCGGGCTTCTCACTGGTCAAAGGGTGTCGCATTGTCAGGAGGATTCAGCGGATTACGATTGCCAACGTCCATTCAAGACTGCTCCACACTGCTCTCTTGGACACCTGTTCCTCCTTCCATTTGTCCATCGTGGCAGATTTGACCTCCAAATTTTTGCAAGCTCAAGGCACGCGACGTGGCCGTAGACATGCATGAAGCGATCCTACAGAACCATGTCATCTGCCGCTTGATCTGCGAGCCAACCCGAACTTGATCATGATGCAAATTATGGACGCATCGTTTATCGCACTGCTGCAGGGACTGCCAAGTGGCTGCAGTCTTCGCTGCACTGCAATGCACTGCAATGAAGCAGGCTAAGATGCTGTCCTGTGCAGCATCTAGAAACTTGGGCCTCGAGGACAGGATGCTCTCACAGCCTGCCAAGGGTGGCCCACTATGCCTAAATGCGAAGTCGTCTTCAAGACGAGGGCGCTTTTTCACGGTACTCCATACCAAATAAAATTTCCGGCCAGTCGGCCAATTAGGCTGCAAGAGTCTCGCCTCAAACCTCTGTCGCTGTGGCAGTGGGCTTCTCTGAGGCGGCTGCGGCTGCGGTGCTTGTCAGGAGCGTCGGTGCCTCCTCGGGCTTGAAACGCTGGGAGTGCTCGCCAAAGGCGTTGGGCTTGCCCGAGTTCTCGTTCTTGCCGTAGGCAACCTTCGGGACAGCCACAGCGCTGCAATGTCCAAGCTTCTGGACTCTAGACGAGATCTACAGCACCCGCCTCGGAGTGGCAGTGAAGATCCACACCTTCCAGCTGCCCAGTTTATCAGTTTATATCAGTTTAGGACTACAGTAGAATCAGGAATCGAGACTGGAAGAGCTTGAACAACACATCCTGTTGCAAGCCGCTGCACACCTGATTTCGAGACTGCACGTGCCTTCCAGCTCCTGCTCCTCGCTGACCCTCATGCGCATCACGAGGCGCATGAGGAAGAAGATCACCGCCGTGACCGCTGCGGAGTAGACCACGCCAAAAGCGGCGCCGGCGAGGTTCTTGACCAGCAGCATTCCATCGTTGCCGTAGATCAAGCCATCCCCGGTGTCGAAGAAGCCGCCAAGGATGGCGCCGGCGAAGCCTCCGACGCCGTGGAGGCTGAAGCAGTCCAGCGAGTCATCCACAAGGTTCAGCTTCTTCAGGCCACGAGCTGCGAAGATGCAGCAGAGCGCGCCAATTGCACCAACCTTAGCTTTGAGGGCTCTGCCTTATCACTGCCATTCACTGTCCATTGTTCGCTCTTGTCGCTTGATCCTTTTTTTGGTGGGGAACCGCTCTCATCCGCTCTCGCCTCTGTCTTCCGAGCAACTCCCAGAGCACCCAAGGGCTCCACGAAGCCGGCACAGGGAGTGATGTTCACCTCGCGAGATGTGTCTAACGTGTCTAGGCTGTCTTGGGCCTGCCAAATTCCTCCAAGCCGCAAGTCCAGCCACCGCGCCGGACATGGCACCGATGGACGTGGGGGCCCCGTCCAGGATGCGCTCCACCGTGACCCACATGATCATTGCCGCAGCCGCCGCGATGTACGTCGTTGCCACGGCCAAGGCGCAGTCTCCGTTGGCGGCGAAGGCAGATCCGCCGTTGAAGCCGGTCCATCCAAGCCACAGGATGCCACCGCCCAAGATGACGAACGGCAGGTTGCTGGGGAAGGACTCTGCTCGGTGCTTGCGCTCGCCCAGCAGCGATGCAAGTGCAAAGGCGGAAGTGCCGGAGCTGATGTGGACCACCGTCCCACCAGCAAAGTCCTACAGGGGTGGCATTACGTGGCATTGCTTCCGTTGATGAAGTCAGAAGCTTGCAGGGCTGGTCTGCAAGCCCCCCGCCCCCGCCCCGCCCTGCCACGTCTAGGTCCTTGGCGCCCATCTCTGCGATCCAGCCGCCGCCCCAGATCCAGTGGCACAGCGGCACGTACACTGCAAGGACCCAGACGACGATGAAAATGGCATAGGCCGAGAACCCTGTGGGCAAAACCGCTGGGACGTTTTCCTACACACCTGGAAGTTTGCCCTTCGTTGGCCGAGCAGCGAATGCGCTCCACCACCGCGCCCGAGATGATCGCTGCTGCAATGATGGCCTGGGCTGCTGCTCGGGATGGATTGGAAACAAAACATATCATCGGCGAGCGGGCTGCAAGTCTCTCAATGACGTCATCGGGCTCATCGTGTTCTACACGCAACTGCAGTGCACCCGACATCGCACCAAGCAGCGAAGGTCATCTGAAAGATTGCGAAGGTCAGGCCTCGGGGCGACAAAGGGTGATGATCTCTGATGGATCGAACCTCAAGGTCCGCTTGCCCTGACCTAATCCCCAACCTTAAACCCGAAGCCTCAAAACCCGAAACCCGAAACCCTCAACCCGAAACCCTAGACCCTAAACCCCGGCCTGGCATGGTGGTGTCGGGCCAGACCTTGTCTTGGAGATGACGGAAGCCCACGTACGTGAAGCCCTTACCTGCGCCCCACTCGTCGAAGGACCAGCTGAAGCCGAAGATCAGCCAAGTGATGGTCGTGAGTCCCATCGAGATGATAGACCTAAGGCTGTTCTCAGATCTGCTGCGATCTGTCGGTAGACATGTGTTACTGCGACTTCCTGCTTTGCGCGGGCTCAGACGCTCTCCCACATGTGACGAGACACATCATCATGGTGTTGACGATGTTGCTGTCACGCACTAAACCTCCGTAGAAGAAGGCGAGCCCCGGCGTCATGAAGAGCACCAGCGCGCAGGACATTGCCATCCATGCGGTGTCGCCATTGTTGAGGCCCTCCATCCCTTCGAAAAAGCCGATGCTACCTCTTGCAGGTTTCCGCGCAGCGCCTCCTTCGAGCCAAATGACACGGAGGTGTTGAGCACACAGTTGTGAAACAATAAAGCAGGTTGTGCGGCAACAGGCTTGCTGGTAATTACATAATTCTACGCTCCAAACATGTGGAGCTTCTTGGGGGGGGGGCCTTGCCATGAAAGGCCCTCTTTGACGAGACCCGCTGCTGCAAGGCCCGCGGTGGTCTAGGGCCACGCACAGAAACAGCTTGGCAGCTTCGAGGCCAAGTGGCTGCAGTCTTCGCTGCACTGCAATGCACTGCAATGAAGCAGGCTAAGATGCTGTCCTGTGCAGCATCTAGAAACTTGGGCCTCGAGGACAGGATGCTCTCACAGCCTGCCAAGGGTGGCCCACTATGCCTAAATGCGAAGTCGTCTTCAAGACGAGGGCGCTTTTTCACGGTACTCCATACCAAATAAAATTTCCGGCCAGTCGGCCAATTAGGCTGCAAGAGTCTCGCCTCAAACCTCTGTCGCTGTGGCAGTGGGCTTCTCTGAGGCGGCTGCGGCTGCGGTGCTTGTCAGGAGCGTCGGTGCCTCCTCGGGCTTGAAACGCTGGGAGTGCTCGCCAAAGGCGTTGGGCTTGCCCGAGTTCTCGTTCTTGCCGTAGGCAACCTTCGGGACAGCCACAGCGCTGCAATGTCCAAGCTTCTGGACTCTAGACGAGATCTACAGCACCCGCCTCGGAGTGGCAGTGAAGATCCACACCTTCCAGCTGCCCAGTTTATCAGTTTATATCAGTTTAGGACTACAGTAGAATCAGGAATCGAGACTGGAAGAGCTTGAACAACACATCCTGTTGCAAGCCGCTGCACACCTGATTTCGAGACTGCACGTGCCTTCCAGCTCCTGCTCCTCGCTGACCCTCATGCGCATCACGAGGCGCATGAGGAAGAAGATCACCGCCGTGACCGCTGCGGAGTAGACCACGCCAAAAGCGGCGCCGGCGAGGTTCTTGACCAGCAGCATTCCATCGTTGCCGTAGATCAAGCCATCCCCGGTGTCGAAGAAGCCGCCAAGGATGGCGCCGGCGAAGCCTCCGACGCCGTGGAGGCTGAAGCAGTCCAGCGAGTCATCCACAAGGTTCAGCTTCTTCAGGCCACGAGCTGCGAAGATGCAGCAGAGCGCGCCAATTGCACCAACCTTAGCTTTGAGGGCTCTGCCTTATCACTGCCATTCACTGTCCATTGTTCGCTCTTGTCGCTTGATCCTTTTTTGGTGGGGAACCGCTCTCATCCGCTCTCGCCTCTGTCTTCCGAGCAACTCCCAGAGCACCCAAGGGCTCCACGAAGCCGGCACAGGGAGTGATGTTCACCTCGCGAGATGTGTCTAACGTGTCTAGGCTGTCTTGGGCCTGCCAAATTCCTCCAAGCCGCAAGTCCAGCCACCGCGCCGGACATGGCACCGATGGACGTGGGGGCCCCGTCCAGGATGCGCTCCACCGTGACCCACATGATCATTGCCGCAGCCGCCGCGATGTACGTCGTTGCCACGGCCAAGGCGCAGTCTCCGTTGGCGGCGAAGGCAGATCCACCGTTGAAGCCGGTCCATCCAAGCCACAGGATGCCACCGCCCAAGATGACGAACGGCAGGTTGCTGGGGAAGGACTCTGCTCGGTGCTTGCGCTCGCCCAGCAGCGATGCAAGTGCAAAGGCGGAAGTGCCGGAGCTGATGTGGACCACCGTCCCACCAGCAAAGTCCTACAGGGGTGGCATTACGTGGCATTGCTTCCGTTGATGAAGTCAGAAGCTTGCAGGGCTGGTCTGCAAGCCCCCCGCCCCCGCCCCGCCCTGCCACGTCTAGGTCCTTGGCGCCCATCTCTGCGATCCAGCCGCCGCCCCAGATCCAGTGGCACAGCGGCACGTACACTGCAAGGACCCAGACGACGATGAAAATGGCATAGGCCGAGAACCCTGTGGGCAAAACCGCTGGGACGTTTTCCTACACACCTGGAAGTTTGCCCTTCGTTGGCCGAGCAGCGAATGCGCTCCACCACCGCGCCCGAGATGATCGCTGCTGCAATGATGGCCTGGGCTGCTGCTCGGGATGGATTGGAAACAAAACATATCATCGGCGAGCGGGCTGCAAGTCTCTCAATGACGTCATCGGGCTCATCGTGTTCTACACGCAACTGCAGTCCCGACATCGCACCAAGCAGCGAAGGTCATCTGAAAGATTGCGAAGGTCAGGCCTCGGGGCGACAAAGGGTGATGATCTCTGATGGATCGAACCTCAAGGTCCGCTTGCCCTGACCTAATCCCCAACCTTAAACCCGAAGCCTCAAAACCCGAAACCCGAAACCCTCAACCCGAAACCCTAAACCCTAAACCCCGGCCTGGCATGGTGGTGTCGGGCCAGACCTTGTCTTGGAGATGACGGAAGCCCACGTACGTGAAGCCCTTACCTGCGCCCCACTCGTCGAAGGACCAGCTGAAGCCGAAGATCAGCCAAGTGATGGTCGTGAGTCCCATCGAGATGATAGACCTAAGGCTGTTCTCAGATCTGCTGCGATCTGTCGGTAGACATGTGTTACTGCGACTTCCTGCTTTGCGCGGGCTCAGACGCTCTCCCACATGTGACGAGACACATCATCATGGTGTTGACGATGTTGCTGTCACGCACTAAACCTCCGTAGAAGAAGGCGAGCCCCGGCGTCATGAAGAGCACCAGCGCGCAGGACATTGCCATCCATGCGGTGTCGCCATTGTTGAGGCCCTCCATCCCTTCGAAAAAGCCGATGCTACCTCTTGCAGGTTTCCGCGCAGCGCCTCCTTCGAGCCAAATGACACGGAGGTGTTGAGCACACAGTTGTGAAACAATAAAGCAGGTTGTGCGGCAACAGGCTTGCTGGTAATTACATAATTCTACGCTCCAAACATGTGGAGCTTCTTGGGGGGGGGGCCTTGCCATGAAAGGCCCTCTTTGACGAGACCCGCTGCTGCAAGGCCCGCGGTGGTCTAGGGCCACGCACAGAAACAGCTTGGCAGCTTCGAGGCCAAGTGGCTGCAGTCTTCGCTGCACTGCAATGCACTGCAATGAAGCAGGCTAAGATGCTGTCCTGTGCAGCATCTAGAAACTTGGGCCTCGAGGACAGGATGCTCTCACAGCCTGCCAAGGGTGGCCCACTATGCCTAAATGCGAAGTCGTCTTCAAGACGAGGGCGCTTTTTCACGGTACTCCATACCAAATAAAATTTCCGGCCAGTCGGCCAATTAGGCTGCAAGAGTCTCGCCTCAAACCTCTGTCGCTGTGGCAGTGGGCTTCTCTGAGGCGGCTGCGGCTGCGGTGCTTGTCAGGAGCGTCGGTGCCTCCTCGGGCCTGAAACGCTGGGAGTGCTCGCCAAAGGCGTTGGGCTTGCCCGAGTTCTCGTTCTTGCCGTAGGCAACCTTCGGGACAGCCACAGCGCTGCAATGTCCAAGCTTCTGGACTCTAGACGAGATCTACAGCACCCGCCTCGGAGTGGCAGTGAAGATCCACACCTTCCAGCTGCCCAGTTTATCAGTTTATATCAGTTTAGGACTACAGTAGAATCAGGAATCGAGAGTGGAAGAGCTTGAACAACACATCCTGTTGCAAGCCGCTGCACACCTGATTTCGAGACTGCACGTGCCTTCCAGCTCCTGCTCCTCGCTGACCCTCATGCGCATCACGAGGCGCATGAGGAAGAAGATCACCGCCGTGACCGCTGCGGAGTAGACCACGCCAAAAGCGGCGCCGGCGAGGTTCTTGACCAGCAGCATTCCATCGTTGCCGTAGATCAAGCCATCCCCGGTGTCGAAGAAGCCGCCAAGGATGGCACCGGCGAAGCCTCCGACGCCGTGGAGGCTGAAGCAGTCCAGCGAGTCATCCACAAGGTTCAGCTTCTTCAGGCCACGAGCTGCGAAGATGCAGCAGAGCGCGCCAATTGCACCAACCTTAGCTTTGAGGGCTCTGCCTTATCACTGCCATTCACTGTCCATTGTTCGCTCTTGTCGCTTGGTCCTCTTTTTGGTGGGGAACCGCTCTCATCCGCTCTCGCCTCTGTCTTCCGAGCAACTCCCAGAGCACCCAAGGGCTCCACGAAGCCGGCACAGGGAGTGATGTTCACCTCGCGAGATGTGTCTAACGTGTCTAGGCTGTCTTGGGCCTGCCAAATTCCTCCAAGCCGCAAGTCCAGCCACCGCGCCGGACATGGCACCGATGGACGTGGGGGCCCCGTCCAGGATGCGCTCCACCGTGACCCACATGATCATTGCCGCAGCCGCCGCGATGTACGTCGTTGCCACGGCCAAGGCGCAGTCTCCGTTGGCGGCGAAGGCAGATCCGCCGTTGAAGCCGGTCCATCCAAGCCACAGGATGCCACCGCCCAAGATGACGAACGGCAGGTTGCTGGGGAAGGACTCTGCTCGGTGCTTGCGCTCGCCCAGCAGCGATGCAAGTGCAAAGGCGGAAGTGCCGGAGCTGATGTGGACCACCGTCCCACCAGCAAAGTCCTACAGGGGTGGCATTACGTGGCATTGCTTCCGTTGATGAAGTCAGAAGCTTGCAGGGCTGGTCTGCAAGCCCCCGCCCCCGCCCCGCCCTGCCACGTCTAGGTCCTTGGCGCCCATCTCTGCGATCCAGCCGCCGCCCCAGATCCAGTGGCACAGTGGCACGTACACCGCAAGGACCCAGACGACGATGAACATGGCATAGGCCGAGAACCCTGTGGGCAAAACCGCTGGGACGTTTTCCTACACACCTGGAAGTTTGCCCTTCGTTGGCCGAGCAGCGAATGCGCTCCACCACCGCGCCCGAGATGATCGCTGCTGCAATGATGGCCTGGGCTGCTGCTCGGGATGGATTGGAAACAAAACATATCATCGGCGAGCGGGCTGCAAGTCTCTCAATGACGTCATCGGGCTCATCGTGTTCTACACGCAACTGCAGTCCCGACATCGCACCAAGCAGCGAAGGTCATCTGAAAGATTGCGAAGGTCAGGCCTCGGGGCGACAAAGGGTGATGATCTCTGATGGATCGAACCTCAAGGTCCGCTTGCCCTGACCTAATCCCCAACCTTAAACCCGAAGCCTCAAAACCCGAAACCCGAAACCCTCAACCCGAAACCCTAGACCCTAAACCCCGGCCTGGCATGGTGGTGTCGGGCCAGACCTTGTCTTGGAGATGACGGAAGCCCACGTACGTGAAGCCCTTACCTGCGCCCCACTCGTCGAAGGACCAGCTGAAGCCGAAGATCAGCCAAGTGATGGTCGTGAGTCCCATCGAGATGATAGACCTAAGGCTGTTCTCAGATCTGCTGCGATCTGTCGGTAGACATGTGTTACTGCGACTTCCTGCTTTGCGCGGGCTCAGACGCTCTCCCACATGTGACGAGACACATCATCATGGTGTTGACGATGTTGCTGTCACGCACTAAACCTCCGTAGAAGAAGGCGAGCCCCGGCGTCATGAAGAGCACCAGCGCGCAGGACATTGCCATCCATGCGGTGTCGCCATTGTTGAGGCCCTCCATCCCTTCGAAAAAGCCGATGCTACCTCTTGCAGGTTTCCGCGCAGCGCCTCCTTCGAGCCAAATGACACGGAGGTGTTGAGCACACAGTTGTGAAACAATAAAGCAGGTTGTGCGGCAACAGGCTTGCTGGTAATTACATAATTCTACGCTCCAAACATGTGGAGCTTCTTGGGGGGGGGGCCTTGCCATGAAAGGCCCTCTTTGACGAGACCCGCTGCTGCAAGGCCCGCGGTGGTCTAGGGCCACGCACAGAAACAGCTTGGCAGCTTCGAGGCCAAGTGGCTGCAGTCTTCGCTGCACTGCAATGCACTGCAATGAAGCAGGCTAAGATGCTGTCCTGTGCAGCATCTAGAAACTTGGGCCTCGAGGACAGGATGCTCTCACAGCCTGCCAAGGGTGGCCCACTATGCCTAAATGCGAAGTCGTCTTCAAGACGAGGGCGCTTTTTCACGGTACTCCATACCAAATAAAATTTCCGGCCAGTCGGCCAATTAGGCTGCAAGAGTCTCGCCTCAAACCTCTGTCGCTGTGGCAGTGGGCTTCTCTGAGGCGGCTGCGGCTGCGGTGCTTGTCAGGAGCGTCGGTGCCTCCTCGGGCTTGAAACGCTGGGAGTGCTCGCCAAAGGCGTTGGGCTTGCCCGAGTTCTCGTTCTTGCCGTAGGCAACCTTCGGGACAGCCACAGCGCTGCAATGTCCAAGCTTCTGGACTCTAGACGAGATCTACAGCACCCGCCTCGGAGTGGCAGTGAAGATCCACACCTTCCAGCTGCCCAGTTTATCAGTTTATATCAGTTTAGGACTACAGTAGAATCAGGAATCGAGACTGGAAGAGCTTGAACAACACATCCTGTTGCAAGCCGCTGCACACCTGATTTCGAGACTGCACGTGCCTTCCAGCTCCTGCTCCTCGCTGACCCTCATGCGCATCACGAGGCGCATGAGGAAGAAGATCACCGCCGTGACCGCTGCGGAGTAGACCACGCCAAAAGCGGCGCCGGCGAGGTTCTTGACCAGCAGCATTCCATCGTTGCCGTAGATCAAGCCATCCCCGGTGTCGAAGAAGCCGCCAAGGATGGCGCCGGCGAAGCCTCCGACGCCGTGGAGGCTGAAGCAGTCCAGCGAGTCATCCACAAGGTTCAGCTTCTTCAGGCCACGAGCTGCGAAGATGCAGCAGAGCGCGCCAATTGCACCAACCTTAGCTTTGAGGGCTCTGCCTTATCACTGCCATTCACTGTCCATTGTTCGCTCTTGTCGCTTGGTCCTCTTTTTGGTGGGGAACCGCTCTCATCCGCTCTCGCCTCTGTCTTCCGAGCAACTCCCAGAGCACCCAAGGGCTCCACGAAGCCGGCACAGGGAGTGATGTTCACCTCGCGAGATGTGTCTAACGTGTCTAGGCTGTCTTGGGCCTGCCAAATTCCTCCAAGCCGCAAGTCCAGCCACCGCGCCGGACATGGCACCGATGGACGTGGGGGCCCCGTCCAGGATGCGCTCCACCGTGACCCACATGATCATTGCCGCAGCCGCCGCGATGTACGTCGTTGCCACGGCCAAGGCGCAGTCTCCGTTGGCGGCGAAGGCAGATCCGCCGTTGAAGCCGGTCCATCCAAGCCACAGGATGCCACCGCCCAAGATGACGAACGGCAGGTTGCTGGGGAAGGACTCTGCTCGGTGCTTGCGCTCGCCCAGCAGCGATGCAAGTGCAAAGGCGGAAGTGCCGGAGCTGATGTGGACCACCGTCCCACCAGCAAAGTCCTACAGGGGTGGCATTACGTGGCATTGCTTCCGTTGATGAAGTCAGAAGCTTGCAGGGCTGGTCTGCAAGCCCCCCGCCCCCGCCCGCCCTGCCACGTCTATAGGTCCTTGGCGCCCATCTCTGCGATCCAGCCGCCGCCCCAGATCCAGTGGCACAGTGGCACGTACACCGCAAGGACCCAGACGACGATGAACATGGCATAGGCCGAGAACCCTGTGGGCAAAACCGCTGGGACGTTTTCCTACACACCTGGAAGTTTGCCCTTCGTTGGCCGAGCAGCGAATGCGCTCCACCACCGCGCCCGAGATGATCGCTGCTGCAATGATGGCCTGGGCTGCTGCTCGGGATGGATTGGAAACAAAACATATCATCGGCGAGCGGGCTGCAAGTCTCTCAATGACGTCATCGGGCTCATCGTGTTCTACACGCAACTGCGGTGCACCCGACATCGCACCAAGCAGCGAAGGTCATCTGAAAGATTGCGAAGGTCAGGCCTCGGGGCGACAAAGGGTGATGATCTCTGATGGATCGAACCTCAAGGTCCGCTTGCCCTGACCTAATCCCCAACCTTAAACCCGAAGCCTCAAAACCCGAAACCCGAAACCCTCAACCCGAAACCCTAAACCCTAAACCCCGGCCTGGCATGGTGGTGTCGGGCCAGACCTTGTCTTGGAGATGACGGAAGCCCACGTACGTGAAGCCCTTACCTGCGCCCCACTCGTCGAAGGACCAGCTGAAGCCGAAGATCAGCCAAGTGATGGTCGTGAGTCCCATCGAGATGATAGACCTAAGGCTGTTCTCAGATCTGCTGCGATCTGTCGGTAGACATGTGTTACTGCGACTTCCTGCTTTGCGCGGGCTCAGACGCTCTCCCACATGTGACGAGACACATCATCATGGTGTTGACGATGTTGCTGTCACGCACTAAACCTCCGTAGAAGAAGGCGAGCCCCGGCGTCATGAAGAGCACCAGCGCGCAGGACATTGCCATCCATGCGGTGTCGCCATTGTTGAGGCCCTCCATCCCTTCGAAAAAGCCGATGCTACCTCTTGCAGGTTTCCGCGCAGCGCCTCCTTCGAGCCAAATGACACGGAGGTGTTGAGCACACAGTTGTGAAACAATAAAGCAGGTTGTGCGGCAACAGGCTTGCTGGTAATTACATAATTCTACGCTCCAAACATGTGGAGCTTCTTGGGGGGGGGGCCTTGCCATGAAAGGCCCTCTTTGACGAGACCCGCTGCTGCAAGGCCCGCGGTGGTCTAGGGCCACGCACAGAAACAGCTTGGCAGCTTCGAGGCCAAGTGGCTGCAGTCTTCGCTGCACTGCAATGCACTGCAATGAAGCAGGCTAAGATGCTGTCCTGTGCAGCATCTAGAAACTTGGGCCTCGAGGACAGGATGCTCTCACAGCCTGCCAAGGGTGGCCCACTATGCCTAAATGCGAAGTCGTCTTCAAGACGAGGGCACTTTTTCACGGTACTCCATACCAAATAAAATTTCCGGCCAGTCGGCCAATTAGGCTGCAAGAGTCTCGCCTCAAACCTCTGTCGCTGTGGCAGTGGGCTTCTCTGAGGCGGCTGCGGCTGCGGTGCTTGTCAGGAGCGTCGGTGCCTCCTCGGGCTTGAAACGCTGGGAGTGCTCGCCAAAGGCGTTGGGCTTGCCCGAGTTCTCGTTCTTGCCGTAGGCAACCTTCGGGACAGCCACAGCGCTGCAATGTCCAAGCTTCTGGACTCTAGACGAGATCTACAGCACCCGCCTCGGAGTGGCAGTGAAGATCCACACCTTCCAGCTGCCCAGTTTATCAGTTTATATCAGTTTAGGACTACAGTAGAATCAGGAATCGAGACTGGAAGAGCTTGAACAACACATCCTGTTGCAAGCCGCTGCACACCTGATTTCGAGACTGCACGTGCCTTCCAGCTCCTGCTCCTCGCTGACCCTCATGCGCATCACGAGGCGCATGAGGAAGAAGATCACCGCCGTGACCGCTGCGGAGTAGACCACGCCAAAAGCGGCGCCGGCGAGGTTCTTGACCAGCAGCATTCCATCGTTGCCGTAGATCAAGCCATCCCCGGTGTCGAAGAAGCCGCCAAGGATGGCGCCGGCGAAGCCTCCGACGCCGTGGAGGCTGAAGCAGTCCAGCGAGTCATCCACAAGGTTCAGCTTCTTCAGGCCACGAGCTGCGAAGATGCAGCAGAGCGCGCCAATTGCACCAACCTTAGCTTTGAGGGCTCTGCCTTATCACTGCCATTCACTGTCCATTGTTCGCTCTTGTCGCTTGGTCCTCTTTTTGGTGGGGAACCGCTCTCATCCGCTCTCGCTTCTGTCTTCCGAGCAACTCCCAGAGCACCCAAGGGCTCCACGAAGCCGGCACAGGGAGTGATGTTCACCTCGCGAGATGTGTCTAACGTGTCTAGGCTGTCTTGGGCCTGCCAAATTCCTCCAAGCCGCAAGTCCAGCCACCGCGCCGGACATGGCACCGATGGACGTGGGGGCCCCGTCCAGGATTCGCTCCACCGTGACCCACATGATCATTGCCGCAGCCGCCGCGATGTACGTCGTTGCCACGGCCAAGGCGCAGTCTCCGTTGGCGGCGAAGGCAGATCCGCCGTTGAAGCCGGTCCATCCAAGCCACAGGATGCCACCGCCCAAGATGACGAACGGCAGGTTGCTGGGGAAGGACTCTGCTCGGTGCTTGCGCTCGCCCAGCAGCGATGCAAGTGCAAAGGCGGAAGTGCCGGAGCTGATGTGGACCACCGTCCCACCAGCAAAGTCCTACAGGGGTGGCATTACGTGGCATTGCTTCCGTTGATGAAGTCAGAAGCTTGCAGGGCTGGTCTGCAAGCCCCCGCCCCCGCCCCGCCCTGCCACGTCTAGGTCCTTGGCGCCCATCTCTGCGATCCAGCCGCCGCCCCAGATCCAGTGGCACAGTGGCACGTACACCGCAAGGACCCAGACGACGATGAACATGGCATAGGCCGAGAACCCTGTGGGCAAAACCGCTGGGACGTTTTCCTACACACCTGGAAGTTTGCCCTTCGTTGGCCGAGCAGCGAATGCGCTCCACCACCGCGCCCGAGATGATCGCTGCTGCAATGATGGCCTGGGCTGCTGCTCGGGATGGATTGGAAACAAAACATATCATCGGCGAGCGGGCTGCAAGTCTCTCAATGATGTCATCGGGCTCATCGTGTTCTACACGCAACTGCAGTGCACCCGACATCGCACCAAGCAGCGAAGGTCATCTGAAAGATTGCGAAGGTCAGGCCTCGGGGCGACAAAGGGTGATGATCTCTGATGGATCGAACCTCAAGGTCCGCTTGCCCTGACCTAATCCCCAACCTTAAACCCGAAGCCTCAAAACCCGAAACCCGAAACCCTCAACCCGAAACCCTAAACCCTAAACCCCGGCCTGGCATGGTGGTGTCGGGCCAGACCTTGTCTTGGAGATGACGGAAGCCCACGTACGTGAAGCCCTTACCTGCGCCCCACTCGTCGAAGGACCAGCTGAAGCCGAAGATCAGCCAAGTGATGGTCGTGAGTCCCATCGAGATGATAGACCTAAGGCTGTTCTCAGATCTGCTGCGATCTGTCGGTAGACATGTGTTACTGCGACTTCCTGCTTTGCGCGGGCTCAGACGCTCTCCCACATGTGACGAGACACATCATCATGGTGTTGACGATGTTGCTGTCACGCACTAAACCTCCGTAGAAGAAGGCGAGCCCCGGCGTCATGAAGAGCACCAGCGCGCAGGACATTGCCATCCATGCGGTGTCGCCATTGTTGAGGCCCTCCATCCCTTCGAAAAAGCCGATGCTACCTCTTGCAGGTTACCGCGCTGCGCCTTCTTCGAGCCGAGAAATTTGTCGGGGCAATTGCACCACTGCCAGCGGATGAGGCGCGCTTCGGTTCTACGACTCGACGTGGTGACGTGGTCAGGGAACAAATGACCTGAGGTTACCTGAGATGACCTGTCCTGGAAAAACTGGCCTTGGAGATGTGAACTCCGAGGTGACGATGCACTCCAGAGCCTCGAGAGACAGGAATTTAGGGCCGTCAGAAGTGCACCGACATACCGTGACATACCGGATGAAATACACGGCTCAGAGGTGTTTCACGTCTTGCAGCTAGAAGCAAAGCGCAAAGGCAATGGCATTGAGTGCGAATGATGTCGCATCATATTCTCAATTCGTGGTACTCTTAGATGGACGGCCAAGCAACAGGTCTGGCAAACGAGAATTCCCAGGTTCCACGATGCCCAATTTGGACCGTAAGCTTTGCAGTCCGCGCATTCCTGGCAAGGGTTGATGATGCCCCAAGTTGGCCGCTCTCAGCACACGGCAACGCAAATCCTCCGAAAGGGCATGAAGAGAACCTTTATGAACCGAGGTCTGGGGAGCATAAAGCGGGTACCTCTGACCCCCAGCGCAGCATCAGGACCCGGGCATTTGGGGCAATAGTGGATGGGGACCAAGTTCGGCGTCTTCACTTTGGCTGCCCCACCCCCGATTTTTGCTGTTGCAACCTACCTTCCTTACAGCCTCACCACCGCCTGCCCCTTCCTCCTCCCGCTTTACCCGAACCCCTTTCCCGCGGCCCTTCCTCCCTACCCCGGCTTTCTTGCAAGTGGCGACGGTGCCTTGCCGCTGCCGCGGCTACGGGCCCCGGCCGAGGCGGGTCGGGTGGCTTCAACTGAAAGTAGCTGTGAATTCTTCTAAAGCTTGGTGGCAGGTATGTAATGGTATGTAAATCACGGAGAATCACATACATAAAAAACATGTAACAACTGACAGACTTCGACAATAGCTCAGCAGGGCCTTATTTCCTGGGAGCTCGAAGATCGCAGAAGGGGCGCCAAGGGTCTCCCACGGCATGGTGCCTGGATTGATTTTACAAGTTGGAACCATCCCCACTGAAACTTACACTGAAGGGTTTTCAGGGCGGGTACATTGAGACAATTGCCTCGCTTTCAGCCGGCGCCAAATTCCGGCCATGATTGACGGGCTTTTTGGACAGCTGAACGATGAGGCTCTACAACTATTAACTCCAGAACCAAAAATGCCGAACCATTCAAAACCCAACAAACCGCCCACGGCCACAAACCAACAAACAACCCTTGTGCAAATCCCGGCCGTGCCAATGAAACTGAGACCCGTGAAGGCTTTGGAACCATCGCGGGCATGCTTCATGTGGGGGGGGGGCAGCCATGGGGTTTCACCCCCGCGAACAAAAGCCCCTGTCCGGTAGCCCCATGAGCCCCATGAGCCCCATGAGCTTGACCATGTAATCCAGCCTCGCACTTTGTCGTAGGCGCTGCCGGGGGCATTGTGTCGAGCACCCCCAGCATGAAGCCACTGGAGGGTGTAGTGTAGGGCTGGATAGGACTGTGGGCTTCGGGCTTATATGCTACTGGTGGAGCTTCTGCGTCTTCTGCACCAGAGATCTGTTGCACCAGCCGCGGGGAAGCGGCAGCCTTGAGATGCCTTGAGATGCCTTGAGATGCCTTGAGATGCCTTGAGTACCCACTAAATGGGCCTCAGGCTTGAGCACTGATCCGAGAGACACCTCAGCTCGGGCAACTCAAGAACCTTACCTTTGATCCAATGCCCTGGATGACACTTTTGGACACTTCTGGTTGCTTGGGGGTCTCACTTTTGTTCATGGCTGACTCCTGTACAGCATGACACAGTGGCGCTGACACGCCTTCCTTTCCACAGCTCACGCAACTCAGAAGCTGCTTTTGTCGGTTTCGTAGCGCCGGAGGGACGGGTCTGCATTGCGCGTCATTGTTCAACAGGTCGGCTTGCAGAGAGGCGTTAAAAGATAGGAAACCTAGCTGAAGATACTTGGTATCCGTGGCCGAGTCCGGCTTCAAACAGGTCGCTAGAGCCTTGACCTGCTGCGATCGTCTGCTCGCTTCGGGCACCGGACGAGCACATCTTCATGGGATGGATTCCAGATGAGAACACCTGATAATACCTGATACCGAGCTCTCCAGTTCAAACATTCTGTGCAACAATGCACTTGAACCCCTCGGCTCGAGGATGCAACAGACCACTGCTCAGGTAAGCACAAACTGCTCACAAACGCATAGAAGCGCCAAGAACCAAGATCACTGCCAAGCACTGCCAAGGGGTCTGAGTTGAAAATTGCAAGCATTTGCAAGAGTTTTGCAAGCCGCCCTTGAGGCGGTGTTCCATGAAACTGGCAGAGATGCATGATGAAGCATGGCATCCCATCAGTGGTTTTGGGTCCTCTGTTCAAGTCGGCCCTTGTGGCCCTGGCCTAGACTGAAGCGCTCAGATCCATTTTGAGCGCACTGCAGTTCTAGGGCCTAGCTACGCGGAAACAGAAGCATCCCTCAATGTGTACGTGCACGAGCTTGCAAAAAGATCATGGGGAGTGCTCCACCAACTGTCTCTTGGAGAGCAGGGTGGAAAGTTGAAAGATTGGCCAAGCATGGCCAAGCCAATCCGGGCAGAGGAGGAAGAATGGATGTTATGCCATCAAGTACTTGCTTCGGGCTATCTCATGCTGACATCTCTGCCCGAGTGTGTAGTTTATGGTGACACGGCTCCAACCTTCCCCCGCATTTTCGTGTCAGAATGGTTTGTGGCACCAGCGCCGATCACATGCGGCTCTTGTCACTCACGCTCAGCACCAGGTATGATGGAAGCAAGATCTCAGCACACAGGAGTCAGGGGCAGAGTAGGAGAGGAAGCAAAGCGCTGGGCATCTGCATCTCTCTTTCTGTGGGATTTGGGGTGGCGTTTGCAGCTTGGGGCCTAGGGCTTCATTGGAGCTTTTCAGGCTTCATATGGGCTTCGAGTGCAAGTCACAGGTTCTTCTGCCCCGTCCAACTTCACCTGCCAGAGAAACTCTGCGCAGATCGGGAGCTGTTCACAGGGCATGATTGCGGAGAGACACCATGGCGCTTGTAAATGTGAATCCAAACTCCAATACGATGCCCACCGTATACGCGAAGTTGCGACGCAGACTCGATACAGGCGCCTCCTTGCCATAAGGATTTCACATCTCAACCTACGTACTGGACCGACTGTGCTAAATACAATTACGGTATGTCGGAGGCGCAGAAACGGTCGGGGCATGTCCCAGTTGCTGATCACAATGGCCACTGTCCTAGTAGGTCCTAGTCATAGTCGCATTTTCTGCAGTCTGCACGCCGGGACGAAGGAAGCAAGCAAGGATGCTTACCGATGGGGTATCTGCGACTGGCTTCGCCACGCCATGATGTTCACTCTGCAAGTCCGCAATGCAGGATGTTCATGTGAACACCTGTTCTATGGTTTCGGCTAGCAACAGCATCCGGCATCGACTAAAGCAATGCAACCGTCGCCTGTTGAATCTTATTCAGAAAATTTGGGAGCGTCAACCAAATGCCCTCTACTGGCAAGCACTGGTGTACACACATGCGCTGCGTGATTCCAAAAGCGCACCTGAAGGAGCGTGGTCTTTGGAGCAACACCAGTGGCACCGGTATTCTGTGTGTCTGCAGAAGCGACGGAAGAGACGCCAGCGACAGAAAGCCTCAGCTTTGGCTGTGGTTCTACGAAGAAGTACTCGACCAATGCGAGCACGACACGGCATGTCTCTTGCTGCGAGACCAACACAACATCCCAGCCTTTCTTTCAAGGCAGCTTTAAGAGTCTTCGAAGGGTGAAGCCCATCCGAGAACAGAGGGACCAACTGAACATTTCCGTGAAGGGAGCTTGCACAGAAGCCGGGCGCCTTGAGCAAGTCGAACGCGGGTGATGCGGAAACATTCCAAGCTGTCTCAGGCTCCAACGGCACGCTGGCTTCCCGATCCAAGCGCTCGTTGGGCTCGTCACTAGCTGCACTAGCCTGGCTCAGCCCACGTCCTCCCAAACCGTGAACTACATGTGAAGGCTCTCGAAAGTAGTGTCCTTTTGGGGCAAAATAGTACTTTTGGGGTACACACAAGAGGCCCCATCATTTAGAGAGGTTCCCATCATTTGGAGAGCCCCCCGTGTACCGGAAGTCTTGCGGCATCTCTCAAACCCGCCTCGGCAGTTGTCCTGGCAATGCGCATGTCTGATGCAACTGGGCGAAATCATCTCCCAAGGGGGGTTGTTCTTCAATCCGAGCCGCTGCCTATTTCAAATACAGCACAGCTTGAACATGAAACCTTCCGAACCCATAATACACTCGCAATCACTCGCACTTGTACAGTGTTACAGTGTCCAGAGCCTGCATCCAAAAATCGTCGCACCACTCTAAGCCACTGTCAAAGAGGCAAGGGCTTAGAACAACACGGTTGTTCTAATGGATTCTAATGGCACAGTACTTGTGCAGCGGCGGCGCAGCCCAGTCCTGACAAGCCCCATTGGCGCCTGGCAGAATTACTTCACAGCTTGCAGCTTGCATTTTGCATCGGGGGCAGAGGCTTCACAGAGGTTGCACTGAGGGCCGTTTGCCTCAACCGCATCCTCGACGATTTGCCCCGCGTAACAGCCGCTGTAGCGGCCTGCCATTGTCTCAAGACAAATCCGCATGACAGCTTCCAGAACTCCTTCTCAGCTCTTCCGCACAAAGGTGCCCAACAAGCGGAATCTGGCAATGTGACTCGATGAAGTCAATGTCGGGAACATGCTAGACTCGTTTTCCCGCACGTTGGCCACATTCCTTTTACATTAACTTGCAATCCAGCATTCTCCCTTGTAGCGGAGACTGACGGTAAACAGATTTTGCAGGGTTGCCCTGCGGATAAGCATTGAATTAGGCTTTTGATTAAGTCTGGCTGCTGATGTGCTGAAGACCTGCTTCCCTTAACTCATGTCTCTGATCGCCCACATCTCATCAGCAGCTGACGCGAGCATAGCATTACACACAACGAGAAGAAGTCTGACATTTGGCACATGCGCTTGATCTCTGCAAGCTGCTACATCAACACTTAAAAGGCCTTGAGGGAAGCAATCTCTTCGGACAGGGCAGCGGGCAACGCTGCAACACGCGAACCCTTACCCCGTCCAGGAGCAATAAGTGTTGTCACCCCGGGAAGGCGCATCGGGCGCAACGTGGATCTCCACCTCCTAGCCGAAGCGGGCGCGGGTTGGATGTGTAACAGGTTTAGGAATAGAAGGTCCGTGCATTTGGCCCATGGTACACTTGAGGGAGGCTGATTTTGCTGCTGTAGGGTCCGAGGCTAATACAGCAAATATCTTGTTCTTCTTCAAGTTGCAAGTTGTGGATGCAAATCTCTGAACCAAAAGACGACACTCAAACTGCTAGGTTACCATCCTGGGACGCCTTGCCATGAGGGAAAGATGCCAAGACCCTGTGACGACACAATACACTTCAACATAGTGTTGGGCGAACTATGTCGTTTCATGTCGTTTCCAGGCCCTTGCAGCACTTTTCACTGCCAGAGTGAATCACGTCTTCCAGCCGGGGCTTATGTCTGAGAGCTCGACTAGGATGTAGGGTTCCTTATCCTCCTTAAACTCCAGGCTCCTTGTTGGCTTAGGGTTTGCCGCTCCATACGTTCATACAGTTGTTGGAGGTCCAGAGAAAGATGTGGCACGAGAAGTGCGGCCTTCTTGTTTCAACACTAGCTCGTACTTTGGAGCGGACATCCCAGAGTCTCCTGCGAATCCCCTTCATAGAGCTGCGCGTTGAGCTCGTTCAAGTCGTCCGCAAATCGGGCTGACATCTGCTCCAAAACCAGGCGGATTTCTGCACGTAGCTTGCAGTTGACAGCTGCAAACCCACCTTCACCGACTGAGACATGATGGGCTCAGCCCAAAGATGATTGAAGACTCTGCTTGTGCTACGATAGCTGCACAGCTGCAGTCCGTGCTGACAAAGCCCTGCTGCCTGGTGTGGATCGGATATCATCATCGATGCGCTGCTGGCAAGGGCACAGGGATGGAGCAGCAGATGCTCTCATGCAAAATCATTACAGGTAAGGCAGTTGAGTGGCGCAACGTTAAGCTTCAGGCCGAGCAGACCATCACACACAGCTGGCAAAGTAAGTGCAAAGTGCATTGTACTTGCGAGTATCGACCTGACAAGGCGAAGCCTTGTCTTCTGCCGCCGTAGCCGAAGCATCCTCCAAGTGCAAATTGTCCAGCTGCCTCAGATTCACGAGAGATGCCTGACAGAATGTCAGCTCAGCTACAAGCTCCAGGAAAAGAGGCAAAAGAAGGCTGCGTTGACGAGCTCCCTGATAATAAGACCGGGAGGCCGCAAGTACAAACGACCATACCTGACCCCTTGAAGTGAATCGGAAACTCGAAGGCTTTTCCTGAAACCGAAAGCCGTCTTCGCTGGTACCCAGCTGCCGTCCGATTCTGACCGCTAGGTCCACGCTGCCGCGCCCGACGTTCAGCACTCCCCCCGGACTGAGCCTCACCGAGTTGCAGCTTTAGTTACTTTAGTTGCGGTTTGGGCAGCTTGTTTGGGGCAGTTTTGGGGGCAGACTGAGGTCTAGGGTTGCGAATGATGAAAGCGGGTTCTGAGGATTTGGGCATGGTACTCTATGCAAGACAGCCATTCTGCATTCTGATCGTTCCAATTGTTGCCTGCGAAAAGCAAAGTCTGGGCCAGTGGAACGGGAAAGAAGCCCATCGGTCGAGTTTGGGTTCAGGAGGGGACGCGAGCCCGAGGCCACGAGAACATGCCCCTCAAAGCTACAGCGATAGCCGATAGTCAGCCAAAGTCCGAGTTGCAGGAATAGGCCCATGAAGGGTGCGAGGCGGTGTTGGCTCAGCCCACGCTCGTGCAGCTTAAAGGTCTGCAGCATCTCGAAGAGGCACCAGGACCTCTGCCACAAGAGACTAGCCCCTCCCGCACTGGCTCGTTTAGAATGTCGTGTATGGGACTGTATGGGCACGGTTGGGGGTACCGCAAGAAATGCCAGCCTCTTCAACGGAGTGAGCTCTCTGTCCATCATCATTCCGGTCCCCTTGTCAGGGTCAGGCGAAACATTTTGACATGTCATATCATGTCATGCTTGAGGTCCTGGACCCTGTAGGGCCCTCCCGATAAGAAAACCACAGACGAAGATGTGGAGATCAGAGCCGCAGCAGAAAGCTACGTCATATCGGCGCATAGCAAGAGTATCAGCAAGAGTATCCATTGATGGGAATAGCGGGCTCTCCCTCTTCCAGTCTTCCAGGCCTGGCAACTGGGTGCCATGAGCGCCTTGTAGAAGGAGGATTCCCGAAGCGCCCCGCAAGGGAGCTCTTTGTCTAATTGCCACTGATTGTGACTGAAAGCGCATATCCTCACTTCGCGAGCTGCATCGTGGCCCCAAGCCGGCAGACCCCCCGCTCCCAAACTAGCCCTGAATACTTGACAAGTATGCCTTCATTCGGATTCAGGGCTTGGGGAAGGGGTTCGACAATGCAGCAACACGCTGCACTTTGCTGGCAAGCATCCAATACCGAATCGCTCCCCAGTTTCCGTCTACGTACATCGCGTGCGCCCGCAGGCTCTGGGCAAAGTCCTCGAAGCGGAACGGGTGTCCGGTCTGGGAAAGACGGGCTTAGGCTCGAGATGTTTCTCGGGTCCTTGAAGGGGAGTGTCCAGAAGTGCGATATGAACCAGTCGACCATACCTGAGCATGCAACGTGACCAGCTTGCACATCGCGATGGGAGCATGATTGAAAACATCTTCACTCTCTGGGCAAGAACACGTATGACGTTACCTTTGATCTGCTGGACATCGCAGAGGCTTCTGTGACATGGTCGCTTACTCCAACTCTTGGGGCCACCTGTCGTTCCAAGGTGTAGTGTGTAGTGTGCAAAGTATAGTATAAACATGCTTCCCAACACTTCCCTTTCACGACCCCCTGACAATCCAGCTCTCGCAACTCTGAGCTGCAGCAGTTCTTCGAATTCAGACGTTGGGGGCAGGAATCTTCGGCGCCAAGATGCCGGAGCCCGCAACTTCAGCGAAGGAGAGCTGCCACTTTTTCGTCACGGGCTTGAGAATGCTGGGGCCTTTGGTTGTGACAGTTCAGGGTCCCATGATGTTCCATGCAACTCTGATGTTGAGGTATGTTGAGGACTTCAAGAGACTGGGAGAGTGGCAAACGTAGTGCATGTTCCTGCAACGCCAGGACAGCAATGGACAGCCTACCATAGCCTACCTTCAGCAACTTCGAATTTGCAATCCGGTCCTTTGCTGGATGAGCGATCTAAAAAACCTCGGTCCAGGAGAGCAGCAGGTCCCCAACCTTGAATATTCCTAATCGCCCCAGATATCCTGGCAGTATCCAGCACTCCTACAGCAGCAGCGAAGTGCTACAGCACCTTAAGTTCACTCCGAAGCACTCGTGGAAGTGCAGGATCTGTGTGGCGCTGACGGCGCGCAAGGCTCCAGGCTCGCAAGCAGAAGGGCATGGGTTCGTCCCGTGCAGGTGCTGCAAGTACCTCAAGCTCACACATGTCAGCATATCTCAGCGGCAGTGGTTTTGAACTCGATCAAATCGCAGGAGAATCGTAGGAGAGACACACTTATAGAGACAAGGCACTGGCGGAGGAGGGTCTGCAGCGGTGTGAGTGAGTCGAGGCGCACGCTCCGGACCTGCAAGGCGAGGATCGAGGCCACGTCCAGAACGGCGGTGAGCAGCAGGTACCACCAAGGGATGGAAGGGATGGGCGCAAGACTGCTGAGAAGAACAATTCCCAGCACCGCCATCGCCAACCACGCCAAGACTGGGAGACGAAGGAATCGAGTCCCAAAAGCTTCGGACATGAACAAGGGCTTCAACGTGCCGCTAGAGGCCTCCGTGGGCGTGGACGCAGGGATTTTGGGGTCGGTGTAGAGCTGGAGCTGCGTAGGGGACAAGGTACGCACGAAGAAGTGAGTCTTGGACGGGTCGAGCCGGTCGAGCCAAGCCACACCTGTGTCATGCAGGCGGACTTTGAGCAACCTCGGACCGAAGTGGTGGCGACTCTGCATCGTGATTACAACGGCTTCGTCCACTGCAGACCACGCGATGTCGGCAATATTCCTCCGGACTCCTGCGATGTGAACGAGAAGCTGGAAGAACACCAATGTCAGCAATGTGAAGACCACAGCAGCCATCACCAATGCCCAGTCAATGACACATTGAGTCCGGCTGCTACCCGCCGTCGTAAAACTGGGGCAAATCTGGCACTCCCCAGACAAGCCGATGGTTCCCGCAGGACACAGACTGCAGGCAGTTCGCCCATGATCAGTTTGAGATCCCGAGGAGCAAAGTATGCACTCGCTTTGGCCAAATCTGGGTTGATACCGGCCTGGACCGCATGGCTGGCAAGAGCCAGAGCGCGCGGCGGTTCCCGGGTGGCAAGCACCACACGCCTGGTTGCCCGAGTGCTCCTTGCAAAGAGAGCCAATCTCGGCATGAGGGACTTGAGGTGTAGGCTGACATAGTCAGCGTAGCATGCATTGAAACACTTAGCTCAACTTGCACAAAATCAGTCTTGACGAAAATATAGACCGAGGCCACGAGCTTGGAAAAACCTTTAGGGCTCTCCGATTAAAGAGCATGGGTCCTAAGGCTGTCAACCACTTGTGGTGGCCTGGTTGTGCCAAACACTGGATCCGTTCGATGCAGTGGAAGCGCAATTCCCGAAAGCATGGCAAGGGTTTTTCAACGGAGGTGGTCTGTCGGAAGATTGTCGTTATCATTGACACATGGATGTCGTGATGGATGTCATGAGGGTGGCATGATGGATGTCGTGGTATGCTGGTAGTTTTTTGGTGTTAATCGCGGATAGGTTTTGTGGGATGTGGCACCTCCTTAAAATTGCGCCGGCGCATGGGGCATCCTCCAAATTCTGGGCGCGCAAGACAACCCTCTGGGTGCTCGCAGCGTGTCGTGACGCTGGCGCGAGGGGTGTTTTTGACATTGTGGGCACGAGTCCTCGAAATTCTGCGTGAGTTGCAGCCGTCACATGCTGTGGGAGATGATGTCTCTGGGATAATGTGGTGTCGTCGATTCGTCTTCCAATCGTTTCGTCTTGCTGAAGCTCTCACAAGGTCTTAAGCGCGGCTCGAAAAAGCTTTCGGGACAAAACGTTCTCTACCCCCTCGAGCCTTTCAGGTTCCTGATACTCCACAAACCACATGCACATTCTTAATCCAAGCTCTTGACCCACGTGCTACGCTCTTGCTACTGTATTGTTTGTTTGAAGGCGCAGAGAACTCTGCGCCTGGCCACTTCGCGGTCGAATTTATCTCAAGCCCCCGCGATGGTTACCTGATGCGACCTGCTCTGGAACCAGCTCAACTCTGTCCTTGCCAAATCCCTGCTGGCAGATTCGGCAGCTGATGGACCTTGCCAAACTGCGACAGGCAGTCTACAGTAGTGAAGGAAGAGCGACTTGCAATCGCTTGCATTGCTCCCAGAAAAAAAAAAAAAAAAAAAAAAAAAAAAAAAACGGCCGAGGATCCTGGAGCCCAATGCCACCACGGGCTCGTGGCCAGCGGGACACTCGCCTAGCCCACAGTCCTGGCACGCACTGCCAACTCTGCTCTGTGTCTCCCTGAATACTTCCGCTTCCACGTCCGTCCGTCCTGGCCCAAGAAGTTGGGGTTGCAGAGGCAGCTGCCGTTTCCACGTAGGAGCCGGGGATCAGAAATCTCCGGATTCTCAGTGGCCATTTGCACGTAGCTGTCGTCAACACAGACCCCCCGGTTGTGGCAAGCGCCCGTGAGTTCATGTACGCCTGGGCATGGAAAGCAGTCGTGGCCCTGCTCTGAGTTCCGCAGTGTGGAGCTATATCCCACTGCACACTTGGAGCAGTCCAGGCCAGCATGGCCTTGCAGGGGCAGACTGCAACTCGCGACAGCACCAAGAGCACCAAAATCTCAAGAAAGTTCAGGGGGCTCAACAAACTTAAGGTTTCGGCGTTGCTGAAAAAAAGAAAAAACGCCAGCACCTCCATCTCAGTCCATCAACAAAAGCTTCGCAGTGTGTTCTGGCAGAGAGGTACAGTAGATGGGAGGGCACTAACTGCCTGGCCTTGAAGGCACTCGCACACTTGGCTTCTCGAGTTGCAAATGCCCGACTTGAAGCAGGCATCGGTGAGAGCACATCGGCCCTTCTCGAGAAACACCAGCGTGTCCGAAGCAGTTCCCAGAATAATTTCCATTGTACCGTCCTAGGTCAAGAGACACTGCAAAACCGCTGCACTGCAGTGTTCAACAATGGCGAATTTGGAAAGCCAAGCATCTCCGTCCCAATCCACCGGGACCGGCACCACGTTCCCACTGAAACCACCGAGAGTATGCCTTGCAGCACATGGATGCCCCTCGCAAAAGCACCACGACTTTAGCGAGACGCGCCTTGGCTGCAGCTGACCTGCTTCGTCTTGCAAGTAGAGCTGCAACCGGCCGGAAGCCATCCCCAGGAGCAAATCCTTGATGCACGTGGGCAACGTGCGATGTTGATCGATTCTGAGATTCCGAGAAATTTAGTTTCATCGGGGGATCGCGTGGGGGATGGTAGCCGGACAAGGATCAAACTTTCCATCTCCGTCAGCATCTACCACAGCAGGCTGAGCCGAGCCTTCGCCACGAATCTCAGCAAAGGGGCTTTGGTCCTCACAAGGACACTGCAATCATGGGGTCAACTCCAGAGTTCAAAGAAGCCAGCAGAGCCCACTCGGCGCTTCCGGCAAGATGCAACGCAAAGGAGGACGGCCGACCCGGCCTCGGGTACAAGCTGCAGCTGCCCGGAAGCATCTTGATGCCAGTACAGCAGCTTGCCGGTGGCAAGGCCAATGAGGACGTCGAGTCTGCCGTCAGCGTCCCAGTCTGCTGCAGCAACTCCCACAGGCCCAGCATCACCAGGGGACCAGGTCAGCAGCTTGGATGGTGGCAGAAAGACAGTGCCATTGCGCTCCAAAAGGAGCAAGCCATGCTCTTGGAGCAGCAAGATGTCGTCATCGCCATCCCCAGTCCAATCAGCGGTAGCCATCGCCAATGTGGAAGAGGCCCCATGTTCAAGTGAGAGATATTCTGCTGTGGATACCTCTTTCAGCGACCGGTCAGGCTGCTGCAGGAAGAGCCGCATCCTGTCTGGCAGGGAGACGAGGAGGTCGGGCTTCCCGTCCCTGTTCAAGTCGACCACAGACGGAATCTTCGGGCCCACGCCCAGCCCAAGGTCACCCACAGGGTTGGAAGGGCCCTCCTGAGACTGGCATTATTTTTTCTTGAACAAAGCATTCAACTTCCAACATCTTTTCAACGTCTTTCAACACACAAGGTATCATCGCGCTTCACTGTGAGTCGTCACAGCACATGATTCAGATGACTTCGCCCTCTTCGGATTTGGTCGTGTTGGGTCTTATTTGGTCACTCCTGAGCTGCACCAAGGATATCTCCACCGGCTCTTCGAAATCCCAGGCCCAACTTCCCATCCTAGGCTCTGACAACACGATGAACGAGATAAGTGGATGCTGTATGCACTGTATGCTTGAGATCAGGAATTTATGCGAAGCCCAGCATCTCGGAAGCCCATGGCAAGGTCCGGGACGCCGTCCATGTCCAAGTCGCCGACTGCCAAGCATGGAGGCCCGACCCGCCCCTCCAAGGGCTGGCTGGGAAATGGACTTGCGCTTCCCGTAACATACTTGAGGGAGCCATCGGACAGCTGCTCCAAGAGCAGCCCACCAACCACGAGATCCCAATCTCCGTCGGAATCCACGTCCACTGCCTGATGGTCACATGAGGAAAGCCCCAGTGGCAATCACAAGAGGTGTTACTGTTAGCACAGCGGATGCAAAATCATAGCAGTCCGAACACGGCCTGCAAACACAGGGAGTCTTCCATCGAGAGCCCCTGCCGACGAAGGACATCGCCAACCTGGTTGAACCCACCCAGCTCTTCTGGAACCTGCAGGGCAACACGCAGGAAAGAGAAGATAAGAGAAGCCTGTCGGAGGAGCTCTCAGAGCCTGTTTGAGACTGCCGCTCTCGTTCTTGAAGTATTGGATCCGGCCACCAACAAGCAAGAGAAGATCCAGATCACCTCGGCCCGAGAGTGCTCAAGATGGCGGCGACTGCCGGAGACCGCTACCCCTCAACATCTCAACTACCTGTGACACTACGCAACATCCTATCCAACAGCCTTCCGAGATCTCAAGTGAGGAGAACGAAGCACCAATACGTGTGTTAAGGACCCACTGCCTTGTATAAGTGAAACCATCCTTTTCTCGACACTAAGCCAAGCTGCCATCGTGGTCCCAGTCCACCACAGTCGGGTGGACTCGCATCTTCAGATCCACAGAAGTAAAGGGATTCTGCTCCCCCTGAGCCCAAGATGAAAGGCGAGTCCAATATTGATGAACCACGAAGTCTGACCAAATCCCAGAAAGAGGAAATGCCATGAAAGGCCGCACACTATAGCTTGCGACACCCTCAGCTCCCCAAATCCGTCCTCGAGCAGCTCTGGCTTGGAAGCGCCCCCACGCAGGAGGAAGAGCTTGCCTTCGCCGGTGCCCAATACCAAATCCTGGCAGCTCAAGGAGGGCTTTCTTCGTGAGGGGGAATATATTGCATGGTAATATGGGGGGGGTTAACAACTAAGCAAAACATTGGTTGCTTGCGCATGCCCTGCTGGCAAGAGACCGGAAATCCATCGGAGTCCCAGTCCACAGCTGCAGGCGCAATGTATGTCCCGACCTAACCACAACTCACCGAGACTGAAATTACAAGCATACGCACCACACTGAAATTACCTCAAGCACCTCGATTTCTTCTACAGTCAGCACGTTCAGCGCTCGATGGCCTTGCCTGTGGCTGGGACCCTCTCCATAGTACATCCAGTATCCCAAGTTCCATCAAGTTCCCATCCCCTTCAGCTGGCAGAGCTTTGGCCGTCCTTCTGAAACTACAACCCAGCTTCCCAACCCTTCAGCTCAATCAATGGCTGCTTCTTTCCGCTACTGGAGTAGTGCTTGGGTCGCGGCATCCACGGTGGCAAAGGGCCCGTCAGGCTGATTGAAAGACACGAACTTGCCCCCCTCTTGTGGAAAATACCACAACCTTCCATCAGCGCTTCCGACGATGAGATCCAGATCCCCGTCCAGGTCCCAGTCTACCAACACTGGCACTGCGGATTCACCGACGTCAAAGGCATACAGCGCAGGTGCATCCGGAACTTCCATGGATTCCAGCAGCTCGTTCGAGCCATTCGAGCTGGACCTGCGAAACCAGGTGAGGTCCTGGAAACCGCTGCTCTGAACTATGAGGTCGGGAACTCCGTCGGAATCCCAGTCGCACGCGGACGGTGAGGCCATCTTGCCGGCTCCGTATCCGTCAAAGACTTCGCATGCAAGCTTCGTTCCTTCGTTAAGGTTCAACAATGGAAAAAAACTCAAGCGACATTGCGACGAAAAGGTCGTTGTGCTCAAACACATCTTCAGCGTAAGGCTACTGAATCTGGCTCAGAGTCTGTTCATGAGGCGGCAGAGGTGGAACTTGCCTGCATGGTCCCCAACGATCACCTCTTTGATCCCGTCACCGTCCCAGTCCCAGACCGTCGGAACCACGGCGCAAGAGCCACGAGCGTCAGGCAGGAAATCTTCGTAAGAAGCCGCCAACACAAGGGAGTGGTTGCCCTGGCCAAGGTACCTCAGACTCAAAAAATTGCCACCCATAGCTGAGACTGTGGCTACGAAAGCTAGACATGCGCCGGGGCTGTTGCACACGCAGTTGGTGTGTTCCAAAAAGCAAACTTTTTTGGCTGCGCCAAGCAGCACAAGGGCGTTTTTGGGCCGGAGGGTGAGGGCTGGGGGCCACACAGAAAGCGGGGGGCAGCATGCAGGGGCGGGGGCCACTTCGGGGGCGTTTGCACATGCAAGTACAATAAGCGGTGGAAGTACAAGAAGCTGTGGAATCAATCATTTAGGAGGTGGCCGCCCCCCCCCTCGCAGCCCGTGACCTAATTGATTTTCCTTGCGAAAACACACCAAAAAAAAACGGTTAACTGCATTTCACGATATGCGCACATGGGACCGAGGCGGCAGCGCGATGTGCGATGTCGAGCCTCCTTAGAATGGACGGAGGTGCGGTCCAAGTTGCACATCCAGCTGACATCCGTGGCCAAGCACCAAGTCTGGATGGCCATCATCTGTCAAGTCTGCCAGGGCCGGTGCAGTGTGGTCAAGGGGCTTCAGTGTGCTGAAGGGGTACCAGTTCCAGGTCATGGCCACATCGCCATCGCCCGAGCCTTTCCTTGGCATGGACGGTGCCTACGCCAGTCTATGCAGACATCTGTGATATTTCCGGGCACGCTACAGACTCTACAGACTCTACAGACACTCTGCGGCACGAGTTTCAGGAACTTCAGGTCGCCATCTGCGTTGCCCACCAAGATATCCAGCCTTCCATCACCGTCCCAATCAAAAACCGTGGGCTTCGCGGACTCCCCGAAAACCCCGACAGAACCTGGGCTGCAGTTTCAGAATTCAGTGGAACCGCTTTTTGGCTTTTAAGAGGAACCCGGGCACTCTGTTGAGACCCGGAACGGAATGGGTTGTCGGTGGACGCTTGTAGCTTCCCGTCTGAGTCCCGAAGGAACAGGCCCAAGCGCCCACTTCCGTGGGAAGTCACCTGAGCACTGGCAAAGCCACGGCAAAGCCGAGTCCGCAGCTTCTTGAAGCTTCGTGCGAAATCTTGCGTTATTGCGCTGAGCTGCGACGTCGAGAAGGCCATCATGATCCCAGTCTGCCACCGCCACGCCTCACACAAGTCAAGGACTGAAATGTGGATACTGTGGGTATCCACATGCGTGCACCTGTGGATCTCGCAGGCTTTTGGACCTAGACTCAGATGACTGGGGCGAAGGTTGGGCTGTTGCCAAGCGCCTGCTAAATCCAGCTCTAACAGCTCGAGCGCGTCTTTCCCTGCTGGATCCGGCCCTTGGCTCGGACCACGCTAAGCCACGCTTAGCCACGCTTAAGAGAGACAGAGAAAGAAGCTGACACCAAAACAATCCAAAGAGGGCAGGTGTCGGCTGGGTAGGATCTTCGGTCTCTCTTGCGTGAAGAGCTGATATGTCTTGCCCACACATTTGCCGGACTGCCGTTGGCAAAACTCATGGACCTTCTTGACTTCCCCTTCCATGCGCAGGTGCTGGCGGGGTGAGTGGCAAGTCTCGTTGCCACTGACTCCACCTGGCATGGAGCGAAGCGTTGCGTTGGCCCCGGCCAGATGACAACTGGAGTCGGCCAGCCACGAGAAGCCAATACATCCCACTGTTTGCTGGCACCGCTTCGAACATTCAATGGATGAAGAAGTCGCCCCTGCGCCCACTCCAGGCATGCTGAGCGGGACATACCGCGAGTTTGCGACACAGGGCGGGACATTGGTGCAACACGATGATGTCGTCAGCCCGGTCTTCACAGATGCATTGTCCACGGGCACAAAGCCTAGCTGCAATGGGCACTTGAAGGTGCTGCATAGGCGCTGGCAGCACTCTTCCGCCGTCCGACCAATCCCTCCACTATCCTTCTTCGGCTTGGAGCCTGCTGGACATGGAAAGTTACTGCAGACTCCCGAGCCCTCCGTCCCTGTGAAGCGCGCCACTACAAGTAGCGTCACGAGGCGAGCCATCTGCTTCGTGCGCTGCCGCCACTACACTCACTACACGCATGTGCTGTGTCAAACGCTTCATCATTCTTAGCCTGAAGTAGCTTCTCAAGGCATGGAGTGAAGCGAAACTTTTCTCACTTAATTGTTCAGACATGGCCACTGCTCTATGTTCCAAGCCAAGCTTGCCGACAGTGAAGGACATCGGAACTAGAAGCCTCAACAGCCTCTTCTAGAACATTGCCAATAGGCCTGACGCTACCAGCCGCCCGAACAAGTGACATGTGGCAGGACTGGAGCAACTGGTGTCAGTGAGTGGCTACAACTTCAGCTTGACGCCTGACTCATTGGACTGAGCACATGCCGGCGAAACCTCTGTAGGCTTGGATTCTTCGGCCTTGCCTTGGCGACATCGGGGCTGTCTTTGAGCAGCTTTGATGTTTGCCTACATGTGCTTGCTGTCAAAGACACAATCAGCTGACCCTGAACGCGTTACGAAAGCCTAGAAACCTAGCAAGCAGTCGCTTAAGTGTCTCAAGCGCAAGCACGCACACAAGGCATGTGCCGTGGCGTGTTAAGAGTCAAGACTCCTGTGAACTCTGCAACTGTGGGCAAAAACGTCTGCAAGCTGCCGAGGGGCGGGAAGCGGCGCCGGATCCTGCTAAGCTGTCAGCAATGTTCAGCAACCATGTGAGCTGCTCATGTGTTTTATGTGTTTTCCTGTGTGCTTTCACCCAGTGGTCACTATTCATAAGCACCGAGAGCCCGTACTCGGTCGCTCTACTTGGTAACGCTACCGTTCTTTTGACCACATCTAGTTGATCTCCTTTCCACAAATGCCCCAAGCGCCCACCAAGTGCCTTTCAAAGGGAACGTCTGCGAGGCCGGACGGCGAGCCTCTGCAGGACGTTGCGTTGCATGGCAAGCTTTAAGATGTGTCGCGCTGGTTTTTGCGCCCTTCTGGAATCTGCGGCTTTGGGGTTGTAGATACAGGGTCCATGCGACCGCATAACCGACATAACTTGAGCATCACGCCCGACTTGCGACAAGGGTGGGACATGTTGAAAACTGGTCAACGACTTCTTGTGGGAACCCCTAACCGGGCAACACCAACCTGGCAATGTACACACCGAATATTTTCCACAAAGATGCGGCCTCTGCCACAAAGAAATTTGATAATTAATCAGAATGACATGATGACAGGAGTATCTATAGGGCTTTTGCATGGTTCGGCCCTCACCTCGGTGCCACGTGTGCTTTATCTTTTTGTCGCCTGGCCTGCGATTCCCCGCACTCGCCTCGTTCACACCGCTCAAACCCAGGCGCAAAAGTCTCGTGTTTTTTGGGGACTCGATGTCGCGAGAAGCCATTCGAAAACAAATCCGGAATTTACTGGTTCAACCCAACATACAACAAGGATTCTGATTAAACGTAATCAACCCCTTGGATCAACATGCCGCTGATCCATTTCGTCTGCCTTTCAGCCCCACGCCCCGCCTGACTCGCCCTCCTCAACCAGAAGCGACACCTGCAGACAATTTTAAGATTCGACATGCGATCTGGCTTACGGCAAAAGTCAAAATCGGACCATCATGGCCCAACTCGCTGAAGGTTGCTATCATGTTGTCTGTCTTGCTTTGTCTGAGCACGTCCCGAAACCAACACAGCCTGATACTTTGCCGGCTGATGCAGCGCCAGGAATGGCGTCGTCGCTACGGTCCCAGGTTGCCAGATCCTCTCGCAAATTGTTTCCAGGGAATTGCACTCTGGTGTTGTTTAGGGTGGCACGAAGGGGTTCAGCACTCAAGCAGACCCGTCCTGTCATCATCCTTACAGCGAAAAAATGGAAGAGTAGTTCCTAGCTAGCGGGCCGTCGAGGTCACGAGACACGAGTGCATCCGTGCAGTCCCCAAAGTTGCCAATCAATTTCGCCGCCAAGACACAAGCACCTCAACGGGTTCACCACCTGGGGCTCCGTGGTTTCAGAGGATCTGCGTCACAGACATTCACAAACTAATCAACAACGACCCCCCACTCGCCGCTGGCCTCTGAGCGGTTGCCTGATATCTGTCAGCGGGACCATCCTGGCCATTCCAACAGAATCCCACACACGCACGCATACACCTCGCATTGTCTTGTTTTAGACTTCGCGCGCTAGCCCGATTGGCAGAATACTCGAGTGAACCTTTGCCCCCCCCGTGCTCCATCCACATCTTCACCCCTGTTGCATGCTAGGGCTGCGAGGCATTGCTGCAAACCTGGCCTGCAAGACAGAAACGAAACGTCAGACACACACACACACACACACACACACACACTCGCGTCCTGCGTAGTTGCTTCCTCACACCGACAGCGCAGTTGTAGCGCGGCAGCCTGTCGGCTTATCAACCCCGTTTGAGGCCTGGCTTCAGCTACTGGTCGTCGAAACGACGGGGCCGTTGACAGTACCTAGTGCTTGAAGTCTGGCCAACATCTGGGCACTTTGACGTTCGGCCACGCACTTGTGGACTTGAGCACCATTTGTTCATGCATCATCGAAGCATTCGCCATGCATCTTGTGCTGCATTGTGCTACTTGAAGCTACACTACCAGGGCAACAGTGCTGCTGATGCCGTAGCTGGCCGTGCCGCTCATTCATGAAAGTACTGTGGCTGCCAAGAAGCTCTTGGGGATCCGTACCCAAGAACTGGCCCGGACCCTGGATGAAGCCCAGCAACCTTAGCAACCAGCTGCACTGTCCATTCCAAAAGAGACTTGTGGGTCAGGGTCTGGTACTAGCTTAGGAGCCAATCAATGTTAAACTAATGTTCTAAAATTTTCTGGGTCATCCGGAGTCTCCATCAACCCCAAAGCACCCTGCCCCCAACATTCACCTTGCTGATATCTTCCACAATCCTGTCCTGTGGGCGTCGAGTCCAGTTTTTTCACAGCACCAGGAAAGCTTTGGAAACGGAAGGTGGGACTTTGTGCTGATGCCTCTGTCATGAAACTGCTCTTCAAAGTTGTTGCTCGCGAGCCACTCCCTCTTCCAGGTGCCACCATTTTAGGCGTTACTGGACGCGAGCGCACGGCCTTGAATTGTTTGATCTTCTCGCTGCTGCAAACTGAAACGAAATATTCGCTAAGCCGAGGTCGGTCTTGACCCACTAGCAAGGAGACAGCACACAAGGTACGCCTTCGAGGTTAACATAGGCAAGCTGGTGAAACAACAAGACCGCCGTGAGCAAATCGAGTTGCACTGAGGCGTGTGTTGAGCCAAGCATCAGCCATACGAGTAGGCTTACGGCATCATCGATGCTTCCAAGTACTAGATCCTCGACTCCTAAACCACCGTCCCCCAGATATATGATAAACCAAGCATGGAACGTTGCAGCCTGGGAAATGACATGTGCGATGTTTGAGGCATGTTGAAGGATGTTGAAAAGAACGGTACTGTAGCAAGACCCTGCAGCCCCTTCCCACCGGGCCCTGTGCGTCTTCCCGTGGGTGCGGGAGTAGTAGTGCACCGTCTCACCATCCTCCCCAGGCTACTGAAAAGGGTCCACACTGTCCACACACCGGGCTGAAGCCCTCCAGGAGACTACGATTTCGCACACTGGGATAGTCTCACCCGCAATATCCCGCAATTTGACATCTTCACGTCTAGTCATCTAGTCCTACTCACTCTCGTCTGGCCTTGTAGATCTCCTGCCATGCCTGGGAAGGAGGAGGCTACCGTGTGAGGCTTCTGGGGCCATTCGGCAACTAACCTATGTTGAGCGAGCACTCGTAAGCCATTTTCAGCCCTCCAAGGTGTGATGTTCTGTTCTGGCAGCTGACTTCGAGTCTTCGAGCCGAGGGCGAGGCTGACGAAGGCCCCAAGTTGTCGGGTGTGGGATCCACGGAAACCTGCCCCAAGGCTATGCAGGTTAGTGGGGGGTACAAGTTGGTAGGTTTATGGGCCAGAGTTCCCCCCTTGCTCGTATTCGGGTCCCGCACCTCCACCAAGCCGAGGTCTTCAGTTGGTTCCGCGGTGTCTCGCAAACTCGCCTTGGTCCAACACAACAGCTCTCCGAGGCTCCGCATTTGTCGGTCCACAGTCCCATTTCTCTTGCAAACTTGCAAACCAAAACACTTCGGCATCGGCGTGTTCCCGATCGCCCTCGTCACAACTCTCTACTCTCCATTTCTACAAACTTGAACTTACTCAGCAACTGCCCGCCTCTACCTAGTGTTTTGGAGGCTTTGATTGTTGTGCACACAGCATATCTTTGGACAACCTAATTTGGTCTACAGCTGTCCAAAAGCAACTGAAGTTAACAAGTGTGTTCTACCACTGTTCTGCCTCTTCATTGGTCCCGTTCGTCATGTTGCTCTCCACCCCACCGAGGAAGGCTTCCGAGGCCACTGTACCCTCGCGCCAAGCAGAACAGGGCCGTGATCGGCGAAGATTATGAAGCCGAATTCGAACGCCGTGGTTTGGAAGTATCCAGCTGTGACATCCAAAGAGATGACTTGGTATCGAACAACGTTCCCTCAACCATCTAAAAGTGATGTTGAATCTGGCGCGGTAATGTTGGATAACAATAATTGATTTTATTGTTATAAAAAGCGAAAGGAAGAGTTTCTACGCCACGCTGTCGCAGTTTACTCCATTGTGAACAAAACTTTTTGCTCTTTCACTTTAAAAAATTGAGATATCTCGTTTGTAGTGAGTTAATTTGTGGGGATGACTGGGAGGTGTGCTTGTGCCCATGTCCTATGTCCCGAAATGTCCCTAAATGTCCCAAAATGTCCCGAAATGTCCCTTAATGTCCCTTGTCATTGGTTGCCGTTTAAGCGGACCACTGTGCCCTGGGGTGAGCCTGCCGAGCAACTGGACTCCCAGCCTGACGCACGGCTTCAGTTAATTGTCCGTTCCATTGGTGCTGGGGATGGGCCTGCGGGAAACCGTTCTCCAAGGTTGAGTGCAGGGCAAGGAAGCGGCACAGCGCAGTGCGGCAAAAATTTATTCGAGACTGGCATAGCCAAGGGGAAGGGGTCCTTCAGGCTCGAACTCCCCCAGCCTGGTTCCCTTCCTGGTGCGTGGGTGTCTCCTGGATCATGGCAATTTGGGCTGGAAATCTAGACAATGAGGGATGGCAGAGACCGGCGCACAGCGCACGGAGAATTTCTGGCTGCTTAAAGTGGTAGGAATCTCACAGATGTGATGCGTGGACGGACGAGTGTGACTGGTGAATACTTGCAGATTGCAAAGTTTACAGGGAGGGTGTGGTGTCTACCATGTGCTGCGAAACAGGCATGACAAGAGGGGGTGGGGTGGCTGGGGGTTGAGTTAAGCAATTTTTCAAGCGCGGGGGGGGGGGGGGGGCGAGAATAGGAACGTAACGGAACGTGACTATTGATTGCATTACCCGATAAGGCACTAAAACGTTCACCAAGAAGAGCTGTAAACGACACTCTGACCCCCGTAAGTCCTCTTCCTCAACCCCTTGAAGCATGTTCCGGAAGGAGCGCTTGGCGTAGGACTGGGATGCCTCCTGCACATTGCTTCTAAGTCATCACCATTCGTCAACCATCATATTTGACAGCCGAACAAACATGCGAGGGTTGGCGACATCTCCCTTCGTCCTTGGTCACGGAGCCTTTGACGCCCGTCTCCCTCCTTGCACCCAAGTCCTTAGAGCACTAAAGCCATTCGCTTCTGATGATTGGCAGCGATGCCAATCGGACTGTGCGACCGTATGCAACGACTCTGCAAGTGGCACACGAGTCGTACACACCGAAAGTGGCCGGCAGGTGTCGCCCCGGTCCCAGCGCAGCCAAGTCACCATGGACACCCAACGATGGCCCTTGAGCTGATTCAGCCTCCTGAAAGCACATGTTTATATACATATATGTATGTATATATATATATGGCATCTTGGGGCATCACTTTCGTAGGTCACTCTAGGGAGGCCAAGAGGTCTCGTGGCGTTTGCTGCACTCTTGCAGTCAAGGCGCCTCATGAAGCGCCCCTGGGTGACAAAACTATGCCTCATATCCCTTGCGAGTTCCGACTCTTGCTAGCTCTTCGACTCTTCGAGTGGTACACACACACACACAAAATCCCACAGATTTGGCTGCGAGATCAGGCATACTTTCCAAGACGAGGTACAGGGTCGACGTCCCATCGAATGTACACCTGCGGGTCACAAGCCAGCCGCATCCAGACTGTACTAGTTGAGATAATATCTGAAACATTGATTCAGTTTGTACCATTGACTTTGTGTAAGTACAAGTAGGTCTCTCGCAGACTGCCTGCTGACTCAGAACACGAGGGGCCACGGTGAATACAGTAAAGGGCCCAGCCGGCCCAGCCTTCTGTTTGGCATCCATGGTCTCCTCGTGTTCGTCCTCGTCTTCGGAGACCACCGTCTTTGTCTCGGCCTCGGCATGCAGAGGATCGGGCTTTCACAACTACAAGCACATTGACATCCAGCCCACCTTGGGCAACAGACTACAAGGAATGATTTCATAACGGCTCGTTCGGTTGGCTCCTGAGGCTTGTATCAGCCGTGTGGCCATGACCCGAGATCGCGAGAAGGTGACAACCTAAGTCTCATCTCTTGAAAGATAGCCCAGGAAAGAGGGGAGAGGGGTCGAGATGGGTAGAGAGGGAGGAGACGGAGACTGCAACCTAACCTCGCTTGACTGCTTGACTGGGCCCCAAGCGTGAAGGTGACCCTTCGTGTCCTCAGCACTCGGCACAAAGACTGGCGAAATGAATGCTCGAAACTGCGGTGTGGGAGACCTTCCATTCTCTTTCAACATCAAGCCCAACCTGTCCAACCCAAGTCTGTAACCTTCAAGCCCCGCCCACCCAAAAGCCTGTAGACACTGCAAACCTTAAACCTCTCAGCGACAGCAATCGAAGCCCGCCATCTTCAACTCCATTCCCCGTTCCAAAAGTTCAAAACTGGTCTCCTGGATCTCAGTCTTCCCCGCCGCCGCAGGCCGCAGGC